GGTAAGGAGGGGGAGGGGTGTGAGTGGGGGGGGGGCATGGCAAAGACTAGTTTGGTTCATCTCTTGCTTGGGCAGCAGTTGATTCGTGGCGATATTGTGCCAATGAACGCCGCTGCCAGGACAATGCAGCTAACACCGGCATTGCAGTCTCCATTATGCCCTATGGGGCAAACTTCGAGGCCTTTGAGGCAGACGCAAACGTTGAGCTAGGAAGCTGAAATTTTGCATACCTTTTATTGGGCCAACAAGCAATGGGAAAACACCAGGGGAGCTGGTCTTCCAAAAACTTTAGAAAGTTTGACGGGGCCTAATGAACAGTGAACAAAGCAGCGCAGCGTGTCACACGCGCTGACAGCTGGCACATTTGAAATGCGGATTAAATTCATTGCGGTTGATAATAATTATGGGATAGGGTGGTCGCTCGTGCTGCGCACACTATAAGTCACAGTGGCCTTACTTTAAATTGATGATCTTTTTTTCTATAAACGCATGTAGAGAAGCATTTCATAGCTTGTTTTATAAGAAACGGTGCAGTAAAACCGTACATTGCATGCAATTTGTCGAAATTGATCCAGCGAGGATCTATCCAGCATCCAAATGGCCAGCATTCGTAACCGCTAAACTTATACGAGCCAGCCAAATGGTGCTCCATTCCGCGCATAACTGGGATGAATTTCGTCAAATACTTTCATGGCTTATCCACAATGAGTGAGGACCTTTCCTTGACCACTCTGTCTGAAATTGGACCTCGCCGACGCCTCACTTTGGTGAAATTCCTGCGTCCGACGATCTTCTGTCCAGCAGTCGATGGGGGCGTTTTATTGGCCATTGATTTCTGGACGGTGATTGGTTCATAGCGCGCTCGCGGCATGATGATTGGTCGATAGCGCCGCGCGCGGATCGACAGAACAGGATTATGTCTTGTCAATCTGACCGGGGATCATAAAGGCGATCTGGCGACAGGCGACATTCAGTAAAATTCCTGGGGAACAGGAATTTAGAGATACTGGATGGTTTTATGCATGTGATTGAAAGTCGCTCGTTTTTACTGTTTTCATCGGATAATGAAACAGTTGAGACACGCATTTTCATATGTTTTGATGCGGGCATTTGTGTCCGACTGAATGAAAGCAGGAATAAGAGAAAAGTTTCACGAAGTTTTCGTTTATGTAAGCTTAGCGAAGTTGTTGCTAACGTTTGAATAACTTGAACCACAACAAGAAACTTCGTTAGTGCTGTGCTCAACGCTGAATTATCCTTCCTAAATTGACAAACATCAGCAAAATGAAAATAGGTTATCATTCAGAACTATTGACATAAGCGCTGGGTTTGGCAGTGTTTTCTGCAGCGTATATTTCTGCTGCAGTCCTTACCAGCGGGGCGTAGAATTGACGTAATATGACTCATCCTCTTATAATTTATGCACACGCTTTTACTGTACTAAATACCACATATTCCCATACGCTCACTTTGTGATCATTTTTAGCAACTAATGCCGTCCCTTATTTTGGTAAGTGCGCCGCGAAGTGCGTTTTCCGGTTGTTTTTGGTAGCCTGAGCAACTCGAATTTACCGCGACGATCGGGTCGAGTGGTCGCCAGGGAAATTAAGAGCGCTCTGAACACTTGTCAACGCCAGTTTAGAGCATCTCGAATGTTGTGGAGGGTGATGAATGTTGCTGACCGGATGTGTTTGTCCTTTAGGTATGTTGCAAGGTATGCCTATATAGGGCCTTGTTTGCAACTTCAGTGTGTGGGGGCGATGTAGGAAATGCTCTCTTGGGAGTATGAGTATTGAATACGTGATATTGCATTCCAATATATTCCGTGAAATGGACCTAAAATGAGTAACCCTACGTCTGAGATATGTCTGCTTCAATTGGAGGGGAATGTATTCATCCTAGAATCTGAGTCTTTTATTTAAGACACGCGCAGAAGTACTCGTAGTCGTGACTTTCCATATTTTTACTTTTGACTTCCATAGTTTTGCTTGTGATTGTTACTTTCGATATTTTTCATATTCCATAATTTTGTTCCTAAGCACACTCGAGTGGGTTTCCGCCATTCTCTAAACGTGATCGACCGCCCCCCACGGAACTACCATTCTCAATTCAGCCGATATGCATGCTCGTTTTCCCATCCTTGTGCCAACCCGGGCCGAAGATTGACGCATTATGTACAGACCTGACTAGGCCCTGGTGTGACGTGGGCTGGGAGCACACTTCTAGGAGGTTGTGCAGTCTCACTGACGGATCCAGGGTAATTCTTAGAAGCATTATATATAATTCTTATTAGTAATTCTTAGAAGCCTGTTATATGGTCTATTATTATATTTGTCATGACCCCTATGGTTCATCTAGTAAATTTTGCATTACATAAAAAATATGTCTTGTCTTTTTGTATCAGACCAAACAGCAACCAACCACCGGTATGCACTGAGAAAAATCCTGACTCCGCATGACACCCCCAGGGGGAGTTCACCAAAACGACACCCCAAAACTCCCAGGTGGTACTCCTCATTACACCCCTTCCAAAACTCTCCATTACACCCCAAAACTTCCCTCGAGAAACTCTCTGTAACTCTCCCTACCGTTTTAGAAAACTCTTCCTTACTCTCCTTTACCCTATCAAAACAAACAACATACTCCCTGAAACTCCCTTCCATTACTCTCAATGACTCTCCTACTGCCTCATAATTACTCCCGATTACTCCATTCCATTATTCCCCAAAACTCCGTTTACATCTTCATGGTATACCTCTTGTTACTCCCCATCAAACTCACCCAAACTTCCCATCACTCCAGTCCAGCCCCTGCCCCCCCCCCCCCCCCGAAAATAAATATTGGACGAATAGCGTAAACACCCAAAGCTCGTGTACCGAAGCACAGATAAAAATATATTTCAAGAAATGTGTATTCAAGTGTATTCATAGGTGGGATGCTTAAAAAATTAACAAACGCTTTCGACATCCCGCCGCGGCACGCTCTCCGGGGATCTCACTCCATATGCTTCACGGTCGCGACTTTGGATGTTAAGAATCCAAAAGGCGGCCTACCACAGCAGGAATGCTTGGTCTGGTGGTGCCGCTACCCTACCACCTCCTGGGCTTCGACGAATACTGCGTCTTCTTCGTCCGGCTCTCCTTTCACGATGGTGGGATGGATATTTGGCTGGCCTCCGTTGGCTTCCGACGTGTCTTGCGGGATGCGCTGCAGGCTCTTCAGCTCATCCCCTGCAAAATGTTAATAACCATGAAATTATAGGTACACTTAACATTGCGTGGGAGGAAATGGAGGAGAAAGAAAAAAAGAAGGAGGGAAATAGTGAAGGAGAAAGGGAGGGAAGGAGGGGAGGGATGAAGGAAGGAAGGAAGGAAGGAAGGAAAAGAAGGAAGGAAGGAAGGGAGGGAGAGAGGGAGAAAGAAAGGGAGAGAGAGGGGAGGGAAAGAGGGAGTGAGGAAGGAAGCGAGGAAAGATGGAAGGAAGAAATGAGGGAGGAGACTGAGAGGTAGGCAGATGAGACAAGATGGACGAGACGAGACATACGCGACCTGACGTGTTGGCACTGATACTGCATTTCGGCACATGATGTCAAAATAATGAAAGCAAGAGATTGCAAAGTTAGCATACTTTTTATGCACTACAATTTTGATAAAGTTTCAGTGAAAGTCTAAAGGGCAAGTTAATAGCCTCCATCTTAGTTGCAGACACAGTAGGGCAATGCTATAAAACGTGCCTACTTGAACGCTCAAAAAGTTGAGCAGGTCGCTAAAAATAAGCTAAGGACGTTATACGCTGCATAGGTACCCATGTCAACATTAAAGAACGAAATTCAATTATGGACACTTTCTAAAAACATACAACAATTTAGACAAAATTTATTTAAACATGCTGGTTTGTCGGTGGTTTTCATAATTCATGGGCAGTGGCAGGGTAGGTAAGTAGGTAACTGATTTTTTTTTATATAGGGTCTAAATCAAGGCTTTTATGCCAAGATAGTTTAATTTTCTGGCTCTGCTTCGAAAGCCCTTCAAATTTGAGATTTGTCATTGGTATGGATATTAAAATAATTGGGCAATAACAATAGGATCCATGACGTGTAAAGCTTGTGTAATCCTAACTTTCCATTTTATTCGAGGGAAATAATGTATGATATTTGCAAATACCTAGAACCTCAGAGCATGCTGTTTCCGATCTTTATCTCACTCAGGAACAAAACAAATCAAATACCCTTACAGAGACCATTCCAGCCCATCAAGAACATGGGGTTACCATATGTTCTCATCACAGCATTATAACACTTTACACTATAAAAGCATGATGGGAAATACAGCTAAGCTTGCTTACCTTTAAATCCAAAGTAAGGTCCAATTATCCGTCACGGTCACTGTATAGGTCAGGTCCGTCTAAGTCAACACGCTCTTCACTAACACCTCGCCCGCCGCCCCGCACAACGTGCTGTGTACTACGCGCAAAAGATGGCGGCCACCGGCAGCCTCGCGACGTATGCTAAAACCCCTTCGTAACTCCCCTTTTACTCCTGTCGGAACGTTCGGGAAAGGTTTTTCGGGAGTAATGGAGAGTTGCGTCACAGAGTTATGGGGTGTCACACATGGAGTCATTTCGTCATCCTTTAAGAACTCTTGAAAACTCTTCCGCAAAATGAGGAAGGCTCAAAGTTACCCTAGAACACACTCAATAACTCTGCTGGAAAGGGAGTTATCAATGGTTTTAAGGAGTTTTCAGGGGAGCATTTTCAAGAGTTTTGACCCATATGGAGTCAATTTTTTTCTCAGTGTGCAAGCTCATTTCAGGTAACAATCCAACATTGCGCATTGCGGTACATGAACGTACCAAAGTCTGCAACACCCAATTCTGACGGCTCCCCTGCAGACACACTGTGATATCCGCTGCTCCGGCCGCGGTTGGGCAATGTCCATCAGGGGGCGGTTTTAATTCATCACCGCTGGCCGACGTGACGTCTGTGAGGTGTGGAATTTCAGATGGGCTACCTCCCAACGGGCGCCGTACCTCAGAGCCCCGCACACCCGAGCTGGCATACATGGATGTGGACGTGGATGTGGAATGTGGCACACCGGACGTGTGGTGGGGGATGTGGATGAGTGATGTCCACACTCACAGCGGCTTCCACAGGGGAGATTCACGGGGGTTTCACAGGAAAACGGAGGCGGGCATTGGTGAGGTGTTGTCAAGTTATTATTTGAAATATTACTTGAAATCATCTGATGTATTGTTGGCTCGGGTTTAATATATTGTGCTCAGGTTTCACGTTCATGATTACATGACATAATAATTTACCAGCTTCGTGCAATTTTTACCCTCAGCCTCATGCACTCTGCCCAATTTCCGTACTTGGTTTCGTTATTTGTTTGCTGGTGTCGTTGGTAGCACGTTTCTAACATTTCATATTTCACATAATTGCAGCTTCATGTAGGATGGGTCGCCCGCCCATACCCACACCTGTCTTCATTTCCAACAGTACTTCGTACTATCGTACTCTTGACTACCACTGAGTTTCTTAGTAAAACCTCCCGAAACTGAACGGCGCGCTCGAGCGGTGCCGTTTCCGGGAAATCCTCCTCCAATGTGGCACCGCAAGTCCCATGTCACGTCGTGGCTCTGCCCAGGTGGTGCACTTTGCAAACCAGATCCCCACCCCACCCCCATCCTAATCCTCTAGCCACCACCACGTAACCCCTACCCACCCACTCACAATCCCTCCTCAACCCATCAAGCACCCACAGTCACAACCGACTTGAGCCAGACTCAGCTGGTGTGCGCTCCCAAAATCAGCACCGTGCGCTCTTGCTAGTTTGTGCCGTAAGTGACCTTTTGCGACAAAGCTGACTGAGTATTGATCTTGGGTCGAGGTGATACCAAGCACCACGTTCTAGCCTATCCTGAAGTGTTTGTGTCGATGCGTTACATCCTGTATACGGAAGGTGGTTTTGGTGGCTTTACTGCAGCCGTTCCGCTGTGGATATAACTGAAAACCCTGCCGTTCGTGCCGAGGTCAGGAACTAATGGCATAATTACCTACCGCTTTGCGGTGGATATCCCGCTTCGACCGAGTAGCTGTCGGTAATGACTAATGAGTGATATCATTTATAGATAAAAAAACACTGACAAGTCTGAATGTGTGACGTCAGCGCAGATATCTAACGATTTTTAAATGTTTGACTAAAACGTTTTGTAGCACGCGGTGGTATATGCTGCTTAGCGCGCAACAAATGCCGCACTTTCAAATAAATTCGCTAGGAACAGCGGAGATCCCAAAAAGTAAACAAAAGTAAAAGTCTTATATCTTGAAAACCGGTGAATATTTTTCGATGAAATTTGGTAGATATTCGTTTTTGCTCTTTCTGAACCGAGCGACATCACTTTCATGCCAATTCATTAACTTTTTTGAAGGTGGGAGGCAGGGCTGCGGAGTCGGAGTCGGAGTCGGAGTCGGAGTCGGAGTCGGTCGGAGTCGACAGTTGTGACCGGAGTCGGAGTCGGAGTCGGAGTCGATTTTAGAAACCCGAGCCGGAGTCGGAGTCGGAGTCACCGAAAATCTGTCGACTCCGCAGCCCTGCTAGGTCTGCGGAGTCGGAGTCGGGAGTTGGAGTCGGTCGGAGTCGACAATTCTGCCCGGAGTCGGAGTCGGAGTCGGAGCTGGTTTTTGAAAGCCGGAGTCGGAGTCGGAGTCGGAGTCGCCGAAAATCCATCGACTCCGCAGCCCTGGTGGGAGGGTCCCTTTAAGCAACATTTGTTTTTTTTTTTTGCAATAGGCACAATACCGCAAGGACATTGAAACAAATGTCTCGTTTTGTGTTTTGCCTGTGAGAAAAATGATCGCTTATTATTATTCTTTTTCTTCTTTGTTCCCAGTTGTGTCCATTTATGTTATTATCCATGATTTCTTAAGAAGGATACAGATTACAGAAAGGCTCACAGACACCGTTATCATTTTTGCATCTAGGCTTAACCTGTATTTACACAACACTTATAACATTCTCTGCGAAACAAACCGAACAAATCGCCATCGAGGCTCTGGAGTGCGTATCAGGGTAGCCACCAAGTCTCTGCTGTGACGGCTTACCTCGCCGGCGAGCTAAGATCGATAGGTATGATCGGATTAACCGTACTGCACGGGCACCTGCAGCCTGAGACCGGGTGGGGCAGTGAGACTTAGCTGCCAGAGGCAAAAACGCATTCTTGGTCGGTGTTTGATGGTATGGAGTGGTATAGGGACATTCCCATTTATGGTAAAAACTTACTCATTCAATTATTGCTGTTGTGCCATAAATGGCGCTGCCAGACCTGTTGATTTTTAGGATATTTACCATGTTTTATTTACATGTTACCCATAGCATCAAATTTTCTTATTCAATTATATGCATACTTCACCGTTTGCTTTAGCGATTGAGTTCCATAGTGATGCATCACACAACCATGGTTCATTTGCAGGTGTTGGTGGGGCCCATGCTTGTAATAACTTCCCGTTCCAATGCCCAAGTCGAGTATAAATTGCATTTTATGGAGGTGAAAGTCTGTTCATGCCACTGTTTCTGTCACATTAATCGTGCCAAATAGACATATTTTTGTAAATCAATACTTCATCCAAAAGTGGCATCAGCTATGCGTAGGTAGCATCGCGCGTTTGCGTGAGTGAAATATGTTACGTACAATGGCTCTCTTGAGCAGCGCTTGAAATTGGCTTGCGTGTGAGATGGCGCAGGGTGGTTCATTGCCGTGGCTCACGACACATAAGGCACAGTGTATATAAATACAGTGGCGGCAAATGCGCTTGGTCACGTGACCAAATCTGCACGTGCGGTTGTGGCGAGGGCACTTCCCGAAACTTGGTGCCAACGGCCTCGCGGCCCATAGAGAATACATGGGACCTTTTCTTTTCAGACCTATCGTCGTCTAAACCAAGCCATTTAGTGCAAGGATACGACTGGTTGAGATTCAGTAGTCTTTTGGCTACAAGTTGGCATAAGAAACGTATTTTTATCGGCAAAATTCGCAAAGTATTAGGTGGTTTTCCGATACCCTGCACGCCTCCTTACCCCCGGCGGCCGACCGGAGGAGTCAGTAGCGCTCCACTCACGACTTTTGGCGATAGCTCAAAACACCTTACAGTAGAGGGCTGCT